TTCGGCTTCCCGACGCTCCAAGACAGCCCAAGACGCCCTGCACATTGCCCCAAGACGGCCGAAGAGGCTCCCAAGACGGCCCCAAGACGGCATAAGAGGGCCCCAAGACGGCCCAAGAGGCGCCCAAAATAGCCCAAGAGGGCCCCAAGACGGTCTCAAGAGGGGACCCAGAGAAGAATCACGAACCGAAAATTCTAGCCTTCCGCCCTGACAGGGCTCGATCGAGGAGGCCCCGAGAGGGCCCATAAAGGCCCCAAGAGGCACCCAAGAGGTCCCCAACAGGCCCCAAGAAGCTCCCAAAAGGCCCCCGAGAGGCTCCCACGACGCCCCAAAACTGCACCCAAAAGGCCCCGAGAGCGCCCGGAGAGCACCCCGCCATTTACGGCGACGCTGCAGAACCGCAACATTTCGATCAAATTGCGGCTGCATCTGTTCGATTCCGTGGTGACGCCGTCTGTCCTCTACAGTCTGACCACAATGCCACTCACTTACAAAGACCTCGATAAGCTGGACGCGCTCCCAAGGAGAATGTTGAGGCGCATTGTTGGGTGGTTTCGTTTGGGGGAGGAAGCATGGCAGCTTACTGGCCATCGCATGAAGCGCCGGCTGGAGACGGCTCTAGCGAAACATCCCATCACAGATTGGAGCATCAGGCGGAACGGTCGGAGAGATTCACTAGCCCAACGAATCGAGCACGGATCTACGTTGCCATGGTATTCTTTGTCGTATGCTTGGCGGCCAAGTCGAGCGCGCCATCGAAGACGACCGCTTCAGAGGTGGACCGATTGAGTCTGTGCCTGTCAGCGAGGGGTTCTTCGTGAAGGTCCCTGCGAACGAGATCTGAGAGTTGTTCTTCCCTTCTGCTCCATCCTGCCCCCTCCTCCAGCTTCCCTCCCCCCCTGCTCCCGCTCCTGCCTGCCCGAGCAGCAACTAGGGGAACGAAAACTGACATAAACAGAAAAACTGGGAAGTCCGCGCGGATTTCTCGGATCGGCGCTGGGGCCCCCTGGCGGCGCCTCCAGCGCCGCCCCTGGCGCGCTGCGCGCGCCAGGGAGGGGGGTCCAGCGCCGATCCGAGAAATCCGCGCGGACCTCCGAGTTTTTATGTTTATGTCACTTTTTGTTCCCCTAGCAATCCATGTGTGACGATCGCACAGATGCCTGGGTGCCGGAGGCACGGGCCAAGACTTTTCCCCCGAGTTCTAGATTGGTACGGCCTTCGGGCCGATCGGGAGTAACGCAGCCACACCCGACCAGCGACAAATCCGTTCCAATGGCAACTCCCCCCACATCATCCCGTGCATAAAGCAATACAAACTGAAACTTTGCACCAACATCTCGATCATGCGAGGACGAGAACGCCCCGCTATCACCTCGAATTTGTATTTACACGCACGGCGGGGGAGCTGGCATGTCGCCTGCTGTACGCAACGCCAAGACCCCCCACCATCCCTGGCAACAAAAAGAATGAGTGCACCTTGCACCCAAATCTGGATCATGCGCGGGCACTCCGAAATCACTTCGCATTGGCCTTTTATAGGTGCGGCGGGGGGCATATTGCCTGCTGTGTGCAGACCCACCATCCACTTCGACAAAATATACAGTGGACTTTGCTAAGGACGGCGGTGGGAGGCGACAAATTGGCATATTCTCTGCTTTGTGCAGGCCCGACATCCCTGTCAAAAAGGGAAGTGTGATTGCAGGTGCACCAGCAAACAATACACAATGCTGGCCACCACGCCGTCATTTGAATCGATGTTTGACAAGGATGGTGTGGGGGGGGCGCTATATTGCCCAGCGTGACGCACCTGGTGCGCGTGGCGCACCTGGCACGTGCGGCGCACCTCGCCGGCGTCGTGCATCCAGCTGGCGTCTGCATTGGCTTCCGATGGTTGTCGGTGGCGGCCCCTGCCTTTGCTGAGACTCGGGCGCTACTTTTTAGTGAGACAGCTTGCGGCGTTCCCGCTGACAGCTTGCGGCGTTCCCGCTGGGATCTTGAGCACCGATCCCTATAATGAACACCCATCCCCGACCTGACCGGCAGCCAACCCGGACCCATGAGCCCAAACCCCTCACCATCCGTTCCGCAGAACAATGCAAAGCACCCTTTGCCTCCAAATCTGGAGCATGCGCGGGCGCCCGGCGACCACTTCGCATGGGATTTTGATAGGGACGGCGGGGGTGCTGGCATGCTACCTTCTTTGTGCAACAGGTGTCGGAAACAATTAAGCAACACTCACGCATAACATATGGTGTGAACTCCCCCCACTCCCCCCGAATGCAATGTTGGGCTCGGATCTCCCGAGTTTGAGTATCGGACCAGTGATGCGTATACGTGCCAACTTTGAATTGCGGGGGAAGGTGGGGTGTTACTTAATTGTTTCCAACCGTAGGGGCGGCGGGGGTGCTGGCATGCTTCCTTCTTTATAAAATGCCAACAACCTCCCGCCATCCTTACCAAAATCCATGCAAAGTGCACTTTGCGGCAAAATCTCATGCTCGGTGGCCCAGCGAGAATTTCGAAGTGGCTTTTGACAGGGACGGCGGGGGGGGTGCTGGCATATCACCTGCTTTGTCCAATGCCAACACCCTCCCACCATCCCTGTCAAAAAAACATACACGTGCGAAACAAAACAAGGGTCATGCTCGGGGAGCCGCGAGCACTTTGCATTGTCTGTTGACAAGGATGGCGGGGGTGCCAGCATATAGCCTGCTGCGCGCAGGGCCACCATGCCCCCCAAAAAAATACAAACTGCACTTCGCGGCTAAATCTGGATCATGCGCAGGCACCCCGCGATCACGTTGCATTGGTTTTTGACAGGGACGGCGGGGGTGCTGGCACGTTGTCTGCTGTGTGCAGGCTCACTAGACATCAAGATGGCCGCTCCGCCGCGATTGTTCATTGGCTTCAAGGGTGGTAGAGGCTGACATGTTTTCCGATGTGCGCGGGCGCACCTAGCACACTCTGCGCGTGCCCCGAACGTGGCGCACCTGACGCGGCTGGAACATGATGCACACTTTCAGGGGCGCGCAAACATGGAGCCCTCCCCAAAAGGCGGCCGATGCCGCCTCGTTCGGCGGCGGAAATCCACGAGTTCCCATGGAAACGGAACGCGTCGCTAATCCACGCCCCCTTGATGCATGTTTGCGATCGCCTGACACTTGGCGCACGTGGAGCACGTGGCACAACTGGCGCACCAGGCGTGCCTGGCATGGTTGGGCCTCCGGGGCGCCTGGCGCGCCTGGCACGCGCGGCGCACCTCGCCTTGCCCCAGCGTCGCGCACTTGGGGTTGTGCACTGGGTCGAAAGGGAGGAGGAGGAGGAGGAGGAGGAGGAGGAAGAGGAAGACAAGGAGGAGGAGGAGGAGGAGGAGGAGGAGGAGGAGGAGGAGGAGGAGCACGCGTCGTTCCCAAGAACTGTCCATCCACTGACGACCGATGAATATGCTGAGACTCGGGTACAACTCGTGTGTTGGGAAGGCGGGTGGGAGTGAGCCAAACAGTACTCGGGTACTACTCTCACGTGTTGGGAGGGCGGGCGGGAGTGAGCCAAGCAGTTTGCGTCTTGGACAGAGGTGTCTTGACCCCTCCACCTGCCCCCTCCCCTGGGTCCGGACGGAAGGGGGGGGCATGGTTTAGAGAGAACAAGATGGCTGATGATTGCTCCAATATGCCCCCCGATGCGCTAAGATGGCCTCCAGTCCAAGATGGCACAAGGTAGCCGACCATGGTTCAATACTGCCTCCGACATGCCTCCGATAGGCCCCAACACGGCCGAAAAACAGCTCCAAGTGCCTTCGGAGCCCTCAACGGAATCCTCCAAGAGACCCAAATAGCTCCCAAACCTAAGCGGCATCAAAGATGTTTGCCCTCTCGTCAGTTCGTATCCGACGGGCCTCTGAGGCCTCAAGAAGGCTCCAAGATGGCCCAAGGGGGCCACAAGAAGGGCCCCGGATGGCGCCAAGGCGGCCCCAAAAGCGCTCCAAGAAGGCCTCGAGAGACACAGGTTCGGCATCCGAGGGGGTGGCGTGGGGGGAAAGAACCACCTTGTGAGCCATGGGGCTTCAGGTCGCCCCAAGAGCCCCAATACCCATCAAACGAGCCCCAAAGCCCCCCAACGGGGGCCCCGAAACGCTCCAAGGGGGCCCCGATAGGCCCCAAGGTGACTCCATGCGTCCTCCAAAAGATCCACGAAGGTCACCTCCTCTCCTCCTCCTCCTCCTCCTCCTCCTCCTCCTCCTCCTCCTGCTGTTTTCCCCTCCTCCCAAGATGGTTCCAGGAGGCATCCGCGAGGCTCCTAAGACAACTCGCCTGGGCATCGGTGTCCGATGCAAAAGTGCTCTGCTCTACGGCCTCTTCCGTCGACGATAGGATTCGGCTTCCCACAGATCCTTCTGGGCGGCCGTTCCACTGAATGCTACTCTACTTCCTTGATCGGGTCAAGATGCGTGGATTTTGTTTCTGGATGGCGTGCGTTCTGCTCATGTGAAGCCTCCACAAGACTCCTGAAACAACTGGCCTGGGATATGTTCTGGATGAACATGGATGCTCTCCTGCACGGGCTCTTCCGTCGTCGGTTGGATCCGGTTTTCTACAAATCCATATGGGCGACTGTTCCGCTGAAGCTGTTGCACTTCCCTGTTCTGGACAAGACGGCTGGGCATCGTTTTTGGATGGGCTGGTGAGTACACGCGAAACGTCAAACTTTTATTTTGACCAAACGCCCTCTGCACTCTCCATGACAATGCGACGAGCGAACCGTGAGGTTGCTCTTCCCGGCCTGTTTTAAATACCATCCTGGGGGGACGCCTTCAAAGGGAGGAAATCCGGCGCGCGCCAGGAAACCCATGGGGGTCCGGTGGCACTGAAGAAAATAAAGCGAGAATGATATCATGGTAGGGTTAGCTCAGGATACGTTCCAGGATTTCCAGAGTATCTAGCGGCCCTCCCCTCCAGCTGGCGATGACGGCCACCCTCCTCCGACGATGCACCCCCCCGGGCCTGCGCGAAGCTCCCTGGCGCGGAACATCTGCTCCAGGAGCAGCACGTGGGCGACGCGGTGGGGAAGGGTGAGCCTGCTGAGCGAGATGCGCCTCCGTGCAGCGGCCCCGGGGTGGCCGGCCCGACCGGCCGAGGAGAGCAGACGGTCTGTCTTAGTGAGCTGGAGGGGAGGCGGAGAATGGGGCGCTTCGACAGGCTCTAGGCGGGAAGCGCTCCTCGCAGCCCCCGTCATTGGACGGGGCGCCCAAGCCGAAGAGGCCAAGCGCGGAGGGGACCTGGAGAGGACACCGGGAGGGGGGCCTCGAAGGGGGTGGGGGACAGGGGCAGGAGGCAACTCCTGGGAGGTCTTCGCGGAAACGGTTCGGTGGCGAACTTCTCAGAAGGCGCGAGTGCTTCTCAAAGCCCCGCCGCCTTCTGAGAAGGCCTGCGCCCTCTCACTTCCCCCTGGCCTCGCCGCTGGACGATGGCTATCAAATTCGATAAGAAGCCGGACTCAAGCCAGATTAGGACAATACGCGGATCGAGCGGGAGTTAGGCTGGACTGAGCGGGACCATGCTGTAGCAGGACTATTTTCGGAAGCGGATATGCCAGCACCGATGCTGAGTGAATCAGTCTGCGGGTGGAACTACGTCATTGCTGACAGCCATGCCGCGTCGAAAGCACCGCATCTCTTCTGATCTCCGAAGTAAAGCGGGGCAGGGCCCGGTCAGTAATTACTCTGGGGTAGGGGTAGGGGACCGCCTGGAAACACCTTCGAATGCTGTCAGCTTTGCCATTGACTGCGGAATTCCATTGGCCAGACTCGGTTTTTGCTTGAGGGGGGATTGTTTTTGGCTCGGCGGAGTTCCGCTTGGCTCGGCGGAGTTCCAATGGCTAGCCATGCGGGTTTCTTGCCATCGCTCGGACGTCCATTTCCCTTGTGTTTTTCGATGTCGTGCGTATATTGTTCGAACATGATCCAAGATGCTCCTCAATAGTCCTCGCCGAGGAAAATATGCACACGTTCGAACGATCCCAAGGTCTTTTCCATTTGCTAGGCGGAGTTCCGCTGGCTAGGCCCGTCTGCAGGCGACGCGTGACCTGGCACGCGCAGCACTACTGCAGCATCGTTCACGATCGCGCGCGATTCTGATTCCCGCTGGGCAAGGGCGCTCGAACGCGGCACAAACATTGCAGAGCTGGCACCCTGCAGGCCCCGACGCAGGCAGGGCCTCAATACCAGTGCGCCGCCTTGCATGCACCGCTGGCACGGAGAACGCATGTGGCGCACGTGGTGCAGCGGCATCGTGCACGCCTCCCGTGCTTCTGACCTGGGCTCAACTCCAGGCGTGCGCAACTTGGCAGGGCGCACTCATCCACCCGCGAGGCCTGTGCGGAGCGTAGCTCCTGGGCTTGGCTGATTCTCGCTGTGGTCGCAGTATGTCCTGCACCGCTGATGCTGCCAGGCGCCATTGGCGGACGACGCAAGCAAGCATATTCCAGCAGACTATCTGGTCTAATGGCACAATTCTCGCTTCGGGTGCGAGAGGTCGGGGTTCAAGGGGGGGATGGGGATAGAGGAATGCGAATGGGAATGGGAATAGGACGCTCGTTCGGGCGGTTGCCTGGGCCCCTGAAGGATGTAGCGGGTGAGGCCGTGGCCTCGCAAACAGAAACTGGCTGGCGGGCTGCGAGCTTACTCACAGAGCCAGCGTCTTGGAGGCATCAGGAGTGGAACTCGCGACAAACAACGTCTCCAGCTTCGTCCGAATTGCCTCTTCGGTAGCCGCGTTGAGTTCTCGGGGGGGGGGAATAAGGGGGGAGAAGGAGGAAAAGGACCGGCCCGGGCCTGTAGCCCTGGCCCGTCCGGAGGTCCTCTGGCAAGCCGTCTGCCCCCCCGATCACGAAGGACACGCGGGGCTCGGCCGCGAAGAGCCGCCCGAAGAGGAGGGACGCGAGCTCCTGCGGGCTCCCTCCGCTCACCCCCCCCTTCCCTTCCGGTCATCTGGGTACGGCAGGTCCGTGTGGTGACGACGTCGGCGTTGGTTCCTGACGCCGTCGAGGACGTCCAAGAGGGGGTCGTCCAAGAGGGGCGACGCAAATCATGGCCGGCGGCGTGTGCGCGGCCCGGGGGGGGAGGGCCAGAGACGAAATGCAACAAGAAGAGGCGCCGTGAGATCTGGGCAGATGCAATAGCCCCCGCCATGATATTTTCACCCCCAGCTGGTCGTCACCCCCCTCCTGGCCGCTCCCGACACCGCGAGGATCGCGGCTTCCCGATAAGAAGCGCAGATCGTTCGAGATCGGCCGGTTCCGGGCCACCGGCAGCGTTCCACCCTGAACGCCCCCTTGCGGTCATCTGGGCACCATCGACGACGTCGGACCGGAACAGCATAACCATAAACTTTCGCAGCTGAGCTCCGCGCGGATTGCTTGGATCTGCGCTGGGCCCCCATGGCAGCGCCTCTGGCGCCGCCCCTGGCGCGCTCCGCGCGCCAGGGAGGGGGGTGCAGCGCCGATCCAAGAAATCCGCGCGAAACTCCCAAAATGGATATTCATGCAACATGTTTTCCTCCGAGCCATCCACGCACGGAGGCGGGATGGGCCGAAGGCATCCAGATCGAGTTTTTTATTCTGAAGCGCAACTCCGCCGTGCCCTCAATGGGCCCCTTCGCCTCGTCCACACCAGCTGGCCATAAAGACAGCAACACTGGCGAAAAACTTGGCTGGGGAGCCAGCCGTAGGAAGGAAACCAGGGGTAGGACGAGGGAAAACGAAGCAAAGCGGAGGCAATGGAGGCACGGTTGATGGACAAAATCCTGCACCAGCCGCGGAACCGGGGCGACGGCGTAAACTTCCACTCGCCTCCGTGCCCCCGATTCAATGTGGATTGGCTGCGCCCGCGGAATGCAGGATTTAGGCCACTCGGATCGACAAATCGCGCCACAGCCTGCGAATACTAACTTGGGGGCGCGGGGGGCGAAAGCAAACATCAAAAAAAATGTGCAGGTCTTTGTCCATCAACCGCACGCGCCACCTCTCTCTGGAAGGCATCCTGATACGGTGGGGGCCCGACCACAAGAAACCTTCCACAAGAAACCCAACCCTGAGACCCCAAAACGTCCATTGATTTGTTATGTGGGAGCGTCACGCTTTCCATAGCAGAACCATCGGAACCCAAAAAACCCAGGGCACCCTGGAGGCAAGCAGGGTATTTCTTGGCATGGGCACCCACTGAAGAGGTAGCGCGGTGGTTTGCTTCTGCCCTGGTTTCGAGGTGTTCGTGCAGCCGTCTTCGAAGCATCTTCGGCCTGCTTTCGTACGTTCCTCGGCTCCCTCGCGGCCTTCCCGGGGGGTCCTGATCCCCCTTCGGGGTCGGCGGAACAGGTTATAAGACAAGCGTCGGAAACAATTTAACAATAACAACACCCACGCATAACACATGGTGTGAATTCCCCCCCTCCCCCGAATGCAATGTTGGACTCGGATCTCCCGAATTAAAATGTCGGACCAGTGATGCGTGTACGTGCCAACTTTGAATCGCGGGGGGCGGGGAAGGTGTTGCTTAATTCCCCATATCCAAAGGGTGGGGCTCTTGCCGTTACTGTGGCCGCGCGGACTTTCCTCTCTCCTCCTCCTCCCTGTTCTTCCTCCCCTTGGTGTGCGATGGTATGGTATATTACGCTATGTTAGATTATGGCATGTTATGATATGATATGCTAAATTATGGTGTGATGACGATGCGGATGATGATGATGATCCTGATGATCGACCGTAGCGAAAAAAAAAACGACAAGAGGGCAAGCGGACAAGAAACGAGAAAGGGCAAAACAGTGTGTCCCGCTCCGCCCGTGGAGGCGCCCACTGCTAGCCTATCGGTGTCAGTAGGAGACAAGCTCCATGTAGCCGTACTCGTTGTTGGTGAACGTGCAGATGAAGGCGAAGGTGCGGGCGTAGGCGCTGATGCTACCGAGTCCAGCCAATCCATCTGGTCAGTGATAGTAGCGAACATGTATGGCGATGGCGTAGATGTGAAGGCGTACGTGTCCAGCAGCTTCGAGAACTCGCCGAGGCAGCTCTCGGACTGAATGTGTACCCGAAGATCGGCGTAGTAGCCAGTCCAGGGGCTGCGGCGGGCCCAGGGAAATCTCATAGCTCTTGTTTTCGAAGGTCGCGCGGTGGAGCTCTAGGGAGACGATCCGCTGCTCGAGACTTGAGCCGATCCCATCGAGCTTGTTGTTGTAGTTCGTGATGTCCGACTGCCGCCGCAACTTGAGCCGACCTATGTCCAGCTGCAGCTCGGAGATGTGCTTGTGCGCCGCGGCGAGGGACGAGCGGGTGGTCACGAACGTCGCGTTCGTGTTGTCGCGGATGGTATTCAGCGCCTCCGTGCTGTTGTCCAAGAGCACCTTGGTCATGTTGGAGAACTGCGCCGCGAGCATCTAGGTCACGTTGGAGAACTGCGCCGCGAGAAGCTCGAGCGTGACGAACTTGTTCTGGGCTTCGCAGAGGTTCTCGTCGATCTTCGCCGCGAGCGAGTGCGCGGACTCAAGGATGGTTTTGTCCAGCTCGGGGCGCGCGACGAAGGAACGCGTGGCAACGTGGATCTTTTCATCGGTCTGCATGGCCAGCGAGTGCTCGGCTTTCCGTACCTTCTCTGCGATCGTGGGGCGCACCGAGCTCTTGAGCGTGGAGATAGCCACGTCGTCCGCCCAGGCGTCGCATGTAGCAGGCAAAAGGGGGCGAGCCATGCTTCCCCAGGCTTGAGCCAGAGCGGCAGGAAGACATCGATGACAACGAAGAGGAAACCGAATCTGTAGAGACGACCTGGTGCTTGGAGCCGACGCTGGCGTCGGTGGAGAGTTCAGGGAACTCCTCGTCAAAGCTGTCGGCCCAGAGGACGCGCTTCGCCGGAGTGGGTGGCGGCTGTGACGTCCGCGAAAATGACGTGGAACCACGAGTCCAACTGCAGTGCCGAGCCATGCTGCCCGTCTGGTAGGTGTACTTGAAAGCGTCAGCCTCTGCGCGGTCGATGTGGCCAGAACCAAGAGCGGCGTCGCGTAATTGAGCTCCGTTGCGCCGATGGATACCAGTCTTGATCTCCAGCGCCCGCGTGGCGTCAGTGGATGAAGCAAGGTGCTTGAGCTCGGGTTTGATGGCCGAAGGGGCTTCCATGTACGTGTAGCCCGTTCGGGACGGGAGCAAACAGTGACGATCCAGCTCACGAAGTCGGCGACGTTCCACAGCGAGTGTGGGTCGTGTCCCCCGCGGTCGGTAAGCTCCCGAGCCCCGCTGCTGCGTACTGGAGGCGCTTGGACGCTGGTCGCCGCATACCGGTGATGCAGCCCTTGAGGTGCATGTCGCCGCGCGTGCGGCTGAGGGAGCTGGCCGTTGTAGAGGATGCAGAGCCGCCGACATTGCAGCGAGGAGGAAGAAGCACTGTGGAAGAAGCATGGACGAAAGAGATGTTCACCGCGCGTGCGATGTCGTCGCCAACCCCGCGAAAGGTGGCACTTGAGCCAAAATAGCTACGGGATGATGCTGATGATGATGATGATGATGATGATGATGATGATGATGATGATGATGATGATGATAATGATAATTATAATGATAGTGATAATGATAATGATAATGATAATGATACTGATACTGATACTAATACTGATACTGATACTGACACTGATAATGATAATGATAATGATAATGATAATGATGATGATGATGATGAGGATGATGATGATGATGAATGATGATGATGAATGATGATGATGCTGATGATGATGATGATGATGATGATGATGATGATGATGATGATGATGATGATGATGATGATGATGATGATGGCGGAGCAAGTTCAGAGGACGTCTCGAGCGGTTTGCTGGTTTCAACACTCCCAAGGGGGGACCGCCAGGGGTATTGCACGGCCTCCGTTCGCGTCAAAATGGCGGGGATGTCTCGAGCGGTTTGCCTGTTTGCATGCCCAACATCCTCTGCTTTCGGAACAGATTTGGAGGATGTCTCGAGCGAGGCGCTCATCTTCGCCCCCAAAGTGGGCCAGATTTTGATGATGTCTCGATCGGTTTGCCTGTTTTGGTGGCCAGACTCGTGGGCACAGATTCTCCCCAGGATGCCACAGGAGGCTCCAGCAGGCTCCAGGAGGCCCCAGGAGGCCGCAGAGGTCCCAGGAGGCATCAGGAGGACACTGGAAGACTCAAGAGGCCACAGGATGTCCCCAGAGGCTCCAGGAGGCCCCAGGAGCTCCAGGAGGCCTCAGGCGGCCACAGGAGGCCCCAGGAGGCCACAGACAGCGCCAGGAGGCACCAGGAGGCCCCGGAAGGCAACAGGAGGCCCCGAGAGGCCCCAGGAGCAGGAGGCCTCAGAAGGCCACAGGAGTGGCTCCAATCCCAGATGTTTTACGTATGCTACTATAGACTGGGCCTCACCTGGAGCACGAATCCTTGATTATACGTATGTTTCTATAGATTGTCCTTCTCCTGCGTATCCAATCCTAACTGTTTTACGTATGTTCCTATACATAGGGCCTCTCCTAAGGCACGAGTCCTTGGTGTTTTACGTGTGTTCCTATAGATTGCCCTTTTCCTGCGGCTCCAATCCGCAATGTTTTATGCACGTCTGTTCATACATATTGGGCCTCTCCTGGCGCACGAATCCTCCCTAGGAGGTCCCAGGAGGCTCCAGGAGTCCACGCGAGGCTCCAGGAGGCCTCAGGAGGCCACAGGAAGCCCGAAGAGGCCCCAGGAGGCCCCAAGAAGCTCCAGGAGGCCCCAGGAAGCCCCAGGAGGTATCAGGAGGCCCCAGGAGGCCCCAGGCTCATGCGCAGAGTCGCGCTCGTACTACTGAGACTCATTCACGCTGCAATTCCTTCGCAGTTAGATTCATGACCGAATATTCGAAAACTCTTCACTCACGGCGAACAGGTCCATGCGAATAGATGCACA